CTCATTAGCAGCTGCAATCTGAGGCTTTCTCATTTATTCACAGTGCTCTAATGTGATGGGAATCGACGTCTGCACAGGAAAATGTCTCTGAGAGTCATTTAAGGCCGTTAATGAAAACTCTGTACGCTTTAAATACGTCAACTGTTGTTCCATTCTTCATCTTTTGTTGGTGTTTCGATTGTTTCCTGTTGTGTTGTGCGTTGAAGCAGCCTTTGGTTTGGACCTAGAGTATGATCAGAGTGTAGTCGGTCGCTGCTGCTGGAAACTGGGCCGGACCGGCGCCCATCTTTCCCCCCTCAGCTCACAGTTGTTCTTAGCTGAACTCAGCTGTTTGATGCCGGCCTGTACAAATGTGTGTGTGTGTGTTTGCATGAGTTGGCTAGTTTGTGTGTGTCCATGAGAGTATGCAACTGAGGGGTTACATAAACAAGAGCAGTTTGCCTACAGGTAAGACCCACAGGAGACCGTCCAGGAGAGAGTGAGTGAGACGGAGCAGCATCTCTTACCTCAGCATTCCCCAGGTCTTGTCACCACTGCTGAAGCTGGATGTGTACTAATGAAGGACGAGCGGAAAAATAACCAAAGGAGAAACAGCGTTGCTCCACACACACACACACACACACACACACACATACACTGTCTAAATACACCCATGCATGTGTTTTAATGTGGTGGAGGCAAACATTCATGCCTCTGTGTGTGTGTGTGTGTGTGTGTGTGTGTGTCCGTCCGTCCCTGATGTGTCTGGGGCTACTGTTAGATGATTGGGAGAATGTGGGAGGATCGGGCATCGGAGGCGGAGGCTGGCAACGGGGCATTTGGCTGCTGGTGCGTTGGGGGGCGGGGGAGTTAGCGGTGGGGTGGTAGTGTAGATAAATCATTAGAGGGCAGGTTATTGAAAATGCAGGGAGATAAAAGAGTGAAGAAGCCAGTAATTGCCTTAAAGATCAAACTACAAAGCATTACTTTGGATTTTACAAGGCCAGCCTGCAACAAAAGAGCAGTAATTTATGGGCTCGGTGTAAAAGAATAGCATAATTACATTAAAAATTAATGCTAATGAGGGCTAAAATGGGGAAGGTGGTTATTATGAAAGTTTGTATTCATCTTCCCTGGGTTGAATGATGGCTTGTGGCTTGATTAATGGCTTAATTTCTATCAATTAGCAGGCAAAAAAAAAAATCTCCACAGAGACAGGCCTAAATTGCGCATTGAATTACACATCTTTACTGCGGTGCAGGAAGGGGGGTAGGGTGAGGGCAGGGGAGAGAGGGGAAGGGAGGGCACATTATTGAAACCTGGGCTTTAGACAGATTTGGTTTAGGCTTATCAAGAACTTGAAATCATATAGAAAAACTTCAAATGTTGGACGTGATTTTGCAGGAAACACAGAACAAGTGTGTGTGTGTGTGAAAAGTGTCTACTGCAGAGTACTAAAGTTCTGTGATTATTTTTTGTGTTAAATTGTTCTAATAGCATTCAAATTGGAAGTCACCTTCAGACTGACATGATCTACTGAGATGTTTCCTCTTCTCCCTGTGTCGGAGTCACATTAACGGTCGTGAACGCAGCGGCTCTGTTCGCCTTTTCTTTGCTTTTCACGTTTAATACATTCATTAAATGTCTGCCGTTTAATTCCTTAACACTGTCAAATATTTGCCCTAAATTTGCGAGACCTCAATAAAACCCAGCAGTTTACATCCTTATTTTTATTTATTTTTATTTTTTTCTCCACACAAGTGCTGCAGTAATTTAGTCAGCACGCCAGTGCACTCAATTACTGGAATTAATCAGCAGCAGCCATATATTCAGCTCCGCTGCTCTTGATTGACAAACCGAGTTCCAAAGTCAAGTTTACAAAGACAACAACGCCTCCTGCCGTGTCCGGGGCTCACATGTGCTGTTGAACAGCTCCCTCTTCTGCCTGAGAGGTGTAACTGCTCCGCCGTCCTGCTCCTGTCTTCAAGGCCGAAGCAGATGAGCTGGAATCACTTTCCATTGGCTGCTTTGATTTTCTCTCCGCGTCTTCAGCTCTTAATCAATGGAGTGGACAAACAGCTATTTAGAGAAGAACAATAGCCTATCGATTGTGAGGCTCTCATCAGCACCGCTGTCTGTCCAACTCATTTCAGTGATGACATGGCATGTGACTTTCACACGCACGCACACACAGACAAAGGTGTGAACACACAAGGACACACACATTAATGTCAGTGCTGCTGCTGTAACAGTCAGTATTCTGTGTATGAAACGAGATCCTCTGGGTTGGATTAGATTCTCTAAGTTGCTGTAATTCAGCTCATCCTCCAGACTTAAATGATATAAAAATAATCGACTAACAATCTGTGTCTACATCACACTGCACACGTCATCATCTGCTCTTTCCTTTGTCTAATCTCTGCTTGCTTGTTTTGTTTTTGTGTTTTTTTTCTCTGTCTCGTCTTTCACGTCATCCTCCTCCCATCACCGATGGAGAAGCGTTCCTAATGTCGTGACAATTTAGTCGACCTTTTAAATTAATTTGCCAGATAATGTGTCAATATTAAATATCAACTTTGACCTCTCCCGGCTGCAGAGTGCGCTTGAACAGCGAGGCTATTGATTTTCGTCTGCTACTAAGCTCGCCACGGCCGCACTCAAAGTCCATTATTTTTGATTTTCTCATGAAATTCATATCT